AAAGCTGTGGTTTTTGCTATGGTGTCTCAGCAGCAGAGTTGCTAAAGCATTACCAAATCCTCTCCCTGCAGGAGACAGACTGCAAAACCAGCCTTAGGGCAGCTACTTCCCCAGGAGTAGCACAGGACTGCCAAAGAGGTTGCAATCCAGAGCATGTTCACATGTCGTCCATGCCCTCATAGCGCTTTGTGTGAGAGCTGGACACTCATTTAGCAAGAAGTTATGCCAACAGTAGATCAAGTCAAACTGTGCTGCCTTCAATAATTTTAATGTTGGATCATGATTGAATAAGACATTAGGTGGACTGCAAAGTATAGCATGACACTGCCCTGCTGTTAAGCTTTAATTAGTTAAGGCAGAAAAGAGCCTCCCTGGAACAAGATGGTCATATTTCTTAGAAAAGTAGACTCTCTTTTATAGAAATATGAATTCAGAGTAACTTATGTATATATATACACATGTATATATATGTATATATATACATATATATATATGAAAGGTAATATACACACATATATATATATATATATATGAAAGGTAAAAGCAGGAGAGAGAATTAGAGCATGAGCCTTCTCTTCTGGGTAGTGTTCAAAACACCAATATTCCCTCAAGAATAGCAATAAAGAATAGAATAGATAGCAGGAAGTGGCATACACCATATAACATGAATGCAGGGAGCGTAAGAGGAAGGAGAAAGAGGAATAACATTGTTTGTGTTTTATTATTTCCTGGCTCTGCCACAGATGCTGTGTATGATCTTTGGCAAGTCACTTCACCCCCTACAAAAAGTAGAAATAAAATATGTGTGCTGTAAAGGTACTGGCTATTTTAATTCTTACCTATATGGAAAACTTTTTAGATCCATGGGTTAAAAAGTCATGAAAATAAAAAGTCGTGAAACACTTGAATCTTGGAACACGGGGGAAAAAAAAAAAAAAAAAGAAAAAAAAAAAGGAAAATTGTATTGCTTAATTATGCGATGATTTCTGCCAGCAATTTGCCAGCAGTAATATTGCCCTGCCTCAGAAAACAACGAGCACTGCATAAAAAAGGCTGACCAGTAATGTTAATGGCATGAAGTGTACTACATTCTTACAGCAAAATACTGTATTAATACTGTATTATTCTTACAGCAAAATACTGTTTCTCTACTGGAATTTGAGGTCTATGGATATGCAGAATGGAACAATTTCAAATGAACAGCGGAGTTTGTCCTAAGTATAGTCACTTCAGTTCAAAAATGAATGGGTTTGCAGGCATGTGTGGTGGAGAATAGTTAAAAATGACTGAAGTGCTCTTCAGATTATTGAAGCAATCTAGGAAATCTAAATTGGTCTACAGCGCCTGTGCCCAGAGCACCCTATTCACTTCCAAAATGAAGTGCTCTTAAAAAAAAGTGAGAAAAAAAAAAAAGTGATGCAATGCATTTGGAAAGGATCGGAGTTCTGGGCATGCATAGTGAAGAATAATTTGAAATTACTGGGGCACTTCAGTTTTTTTTTTTTTAAACACACACATCTTTTTGGAAGTAGATCAAAAAGCATCTGTCATTGTAGGCAAACTCATGAACAATTTAAAAATTGAACCCAATGTAAAACAAAAAGGAGAGGATAATTAAAATAAACCCTACCCCCTTCCAGCCTAGAAACCCTTAAAACTGGAAGGGAGATGGAGAAAAGAAAAGAAAAGAAAAAGAAAAAAAAAAAAAGAAGAAGAAGAAAATCTATATCTTCAGAGATTAAAAGGGATTGCAGGGGCATCTCTGAACTGTTCCGTTACATGCTTTGCAAGGGTCCATGGATCTATGTGGTGGTGGATTGACAGGATGACCACAGGAGCAGACCATGGAGAACCTATCCTCTCACCATCAGCAGCACGAACTTCTTCACATCCCTGAAAGTGCCTCTGCTTCTTCCTGGTTATATACAAGCACCTGCTCCTTTTCCAGATGCATTTGTCCAGGACTGCTTAATGGCTTTTTTTATTTTGTATGGATTTTTCTTTCCCGGTGAAAGACATCTTGTACAGACCAATTCTAAAGATTTTGTTGTGATTTAATCAGGGTTAAAGCTCCAGATGTTCAGTGCTTATGGCTAGGGGGAATTTCAGCTTTCATTTAACATGAAAGTGTATTTTCCAACCCCTATCGCTGATGAGAAAAACTTGGAAATGTGTCCTCAGGAAAGCCTCTGAATCCCAGCAGGCAAGTAGCAAGAACTACCCTTTCCCTTCACCCCTCCTCATGCACTAGATTACTTTGAACGCTCACAGTTTAGAAACCCCTTGACCAAACGTTGCACATCCAGGCTGTTTGTTCTCCCTTGTTTTGCTCTACGCGTGTTCAGTGTTTCCCAGTGAACCACATTCACACAGAGGATTCCCCGATGCCACCGATCCACTTTACTTCTTACCACTCTTACTCCTTACCACTTTTTTTTTTTTTTTTTTTCCATTGGTATGTGCCCTTGTCATGCTATCTGCAGCACAAAAGCCCTAATAGAGACCAGGCCCCATTGAACCCAGCAACAAAACAGTAGGAGATAATCACAGAGAGCTTACAATGAAATCTGACAGGAGGGGCAAAGGGTAGAAGGAATGAAACATTATTATTCCAATTTCAGCTCCCCAAAGTCCCACGCTGGTGTCTTAACGATAAAAGCCATCCCTCCTCTGAAGACTTTAGTCAACAGGGGAAAAAAATGTCTAAAAATCAGATCCTCTTTTCCCGCAACTCTCCTGAAAACAATCTGCAATATTATTTCCTAGACTATGACTGTTCTTAAGAGGAAGAATTCTATAAAAAGGATGTTCTAGTCAAACATGCCCATGGTTCATGGGTACCCTTGGAAAGGGAGGAGGTCATGTGGGGAGAGCCCGTTACGAATGCAAAACAAGGCTTTCCTCGCCGTGACCACTACTAGCTGAGTGGGGAAGCGGGTGACACGAGCCAATCTGCATGCAGCCGAAGGCTGGTGGAAAGCTTGTTTGTGCTCAGCCCTCTAGAGAAGTAGTTTCGGGAACAGTTACGTAAAGATTAGCCCTGTAACGCTGCCAAACACTTTGTGTTATTATGTGCTGTGTTTGTGCCAGGCAGCCCCACATGTCAGAGCCGCCGCACAGGGCAGTTTTAACATGCACACCCACATTTTCAGGGAGCTCGGAAGAATAAGAAAGCCACGGAGGAGCCACTCTGACCTCGTTCGCATGGATGCCACTGCTGATTCCAGTCAGCTTGTACCTGCCCGAGTGCAACCAGCACAGAGACGGAAAGGCACATCCACCTCCTTTTTGGAGAAGTCTATCCTCACCTCCCATCCTCCCCCTGACCCATCAAGTTCCCTTAGAGAATCCTAGCTATATGGATTTAAAAAAAAAAAAAAAAAAAAAAAAAAAAAAAAAAAAAAAAAAGTAGCAACTCAACCATGTGGGAGCATACAAATTTAATGCTAGCTAAATAGGAAGGCTGTCTAAATAACACAGTGATTGGAGTTATGCAGGTCATAAGTCTAGGGAGTAAGAAGCTTACTCTGTTTCTTTTCTTTCTTTCCTGCCTCACTCTGCTTTCTTCACAAAAAGTTCATTAAACAATGATTCTTTCCCGTTGAAAAATTTATGAATGAATTATGTGTTCATGAAAACGAGAGAGTAAAAAGCACTGGCCTTAGCCAGACATGGTGCAGTCTGGCACTCCACAATCTCCCCCGTGCGCACTCCTCTGCCAATGCCCTTCAAGTCTGACCCGAAATACTGCTCCCCACGCCGCCTTCCTTAGGGAGAGATTTGTCAGCAGTGCTTACGAGAGGTATACATGTAGGACACACTCATCCTGGCAGGGAGTGGACATGGACCCCAATTGCAAATGCAAAGATTACTTCTCTAGTCCAGCAAACACATTTGATTTGTGCCATGCACACCTCAGTTACAAGGATGTTGCATCTTGTCTGCAAACATAATAATATCCCTCTTTAGATAAATCAGTATTGCAAATGGCAGCATTCTCTTCTATGGCCTGGACACAGCTGTATCAGTATACTTTTCCTCTGAGAAAGGAGCAATAAATAATAACCAGTAATGAGAAATTTTTATATAGCTCTTTTATCCATAGGTTTCCACCACTTTATGAAGTAGCAAATTTCCCTTGGTTTCCCACTTCTATTCTCTCTTTACCTCCACAGGATATTTTTTCTATTTTTCATTTTAAAATATATTTTCTACATTTTTTTACTTTATCATGGCTTTTTTTGATATTTTCTTTTCTTTTCCATCCCCTTTATTCTCACTTAGCTTCAGTTTTAGACTTTTTGTAGTTTAAGTATCTCTCTACTTTTTCTATTATTCTACTTCTTTTCATTACTTTGTATTTCTGTGTCTCCTCCTCTCTATTCTGTGTCTGTCTGCTTGCCCTTTCCCTACATCTCTTCCTCTTTATCTGTTGGTTTCTCTCTTCATTCTCTCTGATGGTGATTCTCTTCCTTCCCATCTCTGTTTTCAAAGTCCTTTTCCCACATTCTGTTCCTTTCTGTGATCATTTCACATGCCCCATTCCCTTTCTCTTCTCCCGTTGTTACTATTCTTGTTTATATAACTTACAGCAATAGTGACCAAAGAACTAACCTTGACCAATCTCCCTTGAACCCTCTGCCACTCTCAGTCCTTTACATATGTGGCCAGGAGCTCTCCCTGATCTTAATGTGTTCCCTTTCCCAACTCTTTTTCCTCCACCTGCAGAGTGGGCCCAGCTGGCAATAGAGACATAGGGATTAGTGCATCCTTGCAATATATCAGGAGAATAGGTCCATGGCCAGCCAGCCTTGCAGTTTGTGGAGCAGGGGCCACACCACAGAGGGATCTCCAAGACTCACTTATCCTGGAGTACCTGCCAGTAGTTGTGAAGCTCACCAACTCCTCCAGTAGCTCTAACTCTTCCAAAATCAGGTTGGCTGGTGACTGCAGAGGGGGATCAGTCAGGCTTCAGGCTATCCTCATGGCCCGGGAAGCTGTCACCAGTGGAAGCAGTCTTCTACAGCATCACCTTCAAGGCAAAAAATGCAATCTGTGCATGTTTGGTAAGGCAGGCTCTTCCAAAATAAGGATAACGCCCATTTGGACAGGCTAAAAAGGAAGCATTTTCCTGGATGCTTTTAAAGCTGCAAGTCTGATGATGGGGACTTATGTAGGTGAATTAGTTTAAATATCTGCTTTGGAGCTTTCTGGGCTGTTTGGGGAATATTTTAAGCAGCAACTTAGCTGTGCATGATTTCATGGCAGCCCTTGACTCATTTTCACTTCACTTGAGCTGAATAGTGTTTGCAGTCTACAAACTTTGGCCTTATGAGACTGAACTTTTTTGTGGATTTATATATCATTGTCAAACTAAGCCTCAGAGCTTTGCTGGATGGGAATGCTATCCAAGGCCTCAAAAGAGGAGAGAGCATCTGCTTTTTTTCTAGAAGGATAAAACACAGATGATGATGAGCCAAAGGAGCCCCAGATAAGTAGGACAGGACAGGTTATACTTTCCATACTTTGAGAGGCTGGATCATGTGTTTTAACTAAGAGAAATCTCAAATCCAAAGGGCTAAGAGCACTCAAGGAAGAAAATGAAATAAAGGGAGAGAGATGGAGAGGCACAAGGTAAAAAGTGGCTGCAGGAACACTGTAACAAGGCTGGAAGAGAGTTGAAAGAGATGCAGAGAGCATAAGGCAGCTGAGAGGAGTACAGCTACTTAAAAAAATATATATATACACAAAAAAAAAAAAATTCCAAAAGTTGGCTCTTTGGTAGCTGTTTTATTTTCTCTTTTTTTTTTTTCACTCCTCTTTCTCACATCTTTCGTTTTTGGAGGTAAATGGGTCATAAGCTGCCAGGGTATGCTCTCTGGCCATGATGTGGTCAGAACATTTTAGACAGAAAAGCTAATTACATTGACTCGTATTACACTATTTTTTACTTTTCCATTCCCCTATGTCTCTTGCAGGTCTGTTCCATCCCTAGATGCATATGTTGTATCAACTTGACTACTTCCACATGCTTCCATCCTTTTTTTGTGACAAACAGTGGGTATTTAAATCCTTTCCCTACAGATCTGGGAGGGTAACTCAGAGGCTTCAGTGAAATCTAGTTTCTGGCCAGTAGCAGGCAAAGTTTTCTAATGTGGTGATTTTTCTCACTCCAATCCTGTGTAATGTACTTGCGTCCTAGCCTGGAATTCAGAAGGTCACAAAACATCCTGGTGAACAGCTCTGCAATCATCCCAAAGAAAGGAACAGTAGAAAAGTTGTTTATTTTGTTTGTGAAGAAAAGAGGTTTTTTATACTAATATATCAGTATTTGATGCCACTAGCAAGGATATGTATTCATGCTGCGTATCCTCAGCTATATAAAATATAGATCAAGAGTTTTTTTTTTTATTTTATTTCAGAAAGAGAAAGATAGAAAAGAATGAAATTTAATATGTCTGAGATGTTTGTAAATTTTTAAACATAAAGACCCAACAATCCAACATTCCTATCAACCTGTAGCTCAAATTATTAACTTAGCATACATCTTGAAAAGAAGTATAATTATTATTGCACCCAAGAAATAGAGGTGGATGGGAAAAGAAAAAGAAGAAAATTAAAGGGGAAAGGCTATTATTTTCATGTACTCAAGTTCTGACATAAAATTGGAGATTTTGTCTGTTAAATGTTGATGTGCACAGAATCATAGTCAGGTCTAAATGCCTTAGTCATGGCAGGGGGTTAAAAAAAGAGAATATTTGAGAATAATGTGAATTAAAAAGGCAAGTTAGTTTAAATTTCTGTTTGGTAGGGCCTGAGGCCTACAACTCCGATGGGAATACACTGTAGCTGGAGGGCTGATGAATGCCCTTAATGAAGTTGGACAACCTGGAATACATGCATAAAATGATTTTAAATATTGATATGATGTCATTGTGTGTCTGAAGATATTGAAAAGTTCATTTTCAGAGCTAGACAGGTTACGCCTAATTTATTATGGGGAGGGGAATTATTATTTACATTTTTTAATGTAGCAATAAAACAATTATGGGATTTAGGGAGACAGAAAATATTCATGTTTCTTGGAGAGCTTAAAAAAAATGCATGTTGCAATGGAAATGACTTAGAGGAGCTTATACAAGCAGATATTGAGAAATATACTTTCTCTTTTCCCTTCCTGATAATGGAGGTAATGCATCCATAAAGTATGTAAAGTAAGAGGACCTTTTGACCAATGTTAATTATATTTAACTTATTCTAGGTATAACAGAAGGAACAGCTTAAATATATCATTGGGGACTACCAACTCACCCATATATTCAGGATGTGTCTATTATAACATTTCCATGACATTGCATGGTTTTCAGAACAATTCTTACCGTGAAGAAGAGGAGACGTGGTGTTATAATGGTACGTTCAGTTCCGTTGTGATATGAAAGTTTTTACGGAGAATGCCTCAGGGCACCTGTCTGCCTCATGTGTTCAATATTACGGCTGTATAACACACAGGGTTTGGAGTGTATTAAAGGCAGAGCCATTGCAGTCTGCTGCAGGTTGCTAGTGCTAAGGTCCAATCCTGATGATGCCTAAATCGAACAAACAAAAAAAAAAAAAAAAAAACCAGAAAAATCTTTGTAAAATTTGCTTAGAATTTTTTTTTCCCCTGTTGTTCTTTTTTTTTTTTTTTCCCCTGGCTAATATTCATCCCTCCTGGAAAAAAAAGGAGAATTTACTTCTCAGATCTGGTGTAAATTGAAGCATCTTCCTTAAAAATATAGATGTTTGGGTAGTGATTCTCTTTTTTTTCTCTAAAGCACCTGTTCAGGATTCAGCATGTATCATACATGCTAGCAAGTCGGATGAAAACTCTCTCACTCTCTGCTCTCTTGCCTAGCTCTCATATCAGTGGTCTAAAATAATTTAACAGAATAGTTAAGCATACACTTACCTCTAAGCATCTCACTGAGGCTATTTCACTGCACAAAGACAGGTTACTTCTTGCTGAATCACGGCCTGTGTGATTACAGTACACAGAGCAACCATAAATTGGCAGTTAGAGGAGATAATCTCTCTTGTTCCACTTAATAGATCACAAGCACTAGAAGTACATTGTTGTACCAGGGTTGTGTCCTGCCCTGACATAAGGCACAGAATGGGGAAAATACTTCTAAACAAAAGTGTCACAAAAAGCCCTCTTCCACTGTAAACCTTTCCGCCTCCTTCAGCGCCTCCTTCAGCGTAGAGCAACTGGACAAGTAAACAAAACAGAGGAAGCGAAACTCTGAATATTGTGCCGAGACAAAGGGAACAAGCCTCAAAAAGAGCTAGAAAAGCTATGATGAAAGGCAATATGGCTAAGAAAGAGGGACATAAAGGAAATTTACATTTTTCAGTGAGCAAAATACATGATTGAAGAAAACTCAACAGAGATGTGTAAGATCACAAGTGGCCCAGAGGAAGCATAGACATTGATTACAGCAGCAGAAGGAAGAGGTACCTGATGAACGGAACAAGCAGCATATTTAAAATAGAGGAAGCGGAGCACATAATGGCACAACTTTTTGCTACAAGATACTTATTAAAGACCAAAAATACTAATCGAATTGAAAATAAGATTAGATAAATTCATGTAGGAGAGCTCCTTAGATCTGGATATAACCTCTGAGTCAGGAAATTGCAAAGCCATTGATTGTCAGAAAAAAAAAAAAAAAAAAAAAATCACTTTACATGTGTCCTGTTTCCTCTACTTTCCCCTAACCATCCATTCCCATTAATGTTAGTCAGCAGACAATGCTACAGAGGCTGCCCAGGTTCTTACACAGGGGCACAAGGTGCATATAACCTTCAAATGCACTTCAGTTGATCTCCTCTGGCTAGCTCAAGGTTGAGCTGGTTCTTGTCATTCTTGCTGCAGCTCATCCAAAGGGCAGCAATGGTCAACAAAGAATAGGTTAGAGATTACCCCCGCTTCAGACTTAGCGCAGCAGACACAGGAGTCTATGGGCTCACTCCTCATTCATGTCCATGGGAACCTTCATATGCGCTTTCACAGGTTAGCACAATCTCCAGTCTCTCTTATTTCCATATCCTCACTTTCTAGCATTACCAATTCTTTAGATAGTATCTCAGCAACAATTTGCTATTTACATTTTACATTACATACATTAGAGCTGTTTAAAAAAAAAAAACAATTAAGGAATTGATAAGATCTCATGACAAGTCCAGCTTCCCTCTTATCTGAAGTGATTGCCCTGGAATGAGTAGTGTTTGGATCACAATTTGGTAATCAAATAGCCAAACCATGTGATTAGCTGATATCAAATTAGTAACCATTCACCAGCTGACACCCCCAACTAATGCTTTCTGCCACTAATTAACTTTATTCCCACTTCCTTTAATGTGGCTACCTGTTCTCAAGCTGCTAACTGGATTTACATGTTTTTCAACTTCATCATTCTGATAAATGCCCTGTATCCTTCCTCCTCTTCACCTATCTCAGCATCATTCCTGTCTCTTTCTAGTCCTGTTTTCTCTCTTGTCCTGCACATGCTTCTCTTGAGCTTCGTCTCTCAAACATTCATTATGCAAACACACAATAAAGCTTTGTGAAAATGTAGTACAAAATGGCAAATGAGCTCTGCTAAGACCTGAAATCTCAGACGTCAGCCTTGTTGAGTTTGGTCACTTAAAAAATATCTGTTAAAAGAAACTATATACCCAAACACCAGAGACACAAAGCCAAGACAGCCCTCAGGCAGCTGCAAATGGTGCAGAGTTTCTCAGGAGGATGCAGTTCCCTCTGAGGTTGCAACCTCCTTGTTCCCTTGGCTTTTGAGAAGAGTTCAGCTACACCCACAGTCTAGACCATGTCAAACCCCTTATTTCGCTTAAGAACTTTAAGCTGGGATATTTCATGAACCATTCCTAAGAAGTTTGACTGTATAATATATTGCGAAAATAAACAAGTGTAAATTTACATCATTCCTTGCTAATTTGAGGCACAAAAGGAATTTAAAAAAAAAAAATGTAGCTCTTGCAAGTTTTCCTCTAAAGTACACAAGCATGGAAAGAAAATGTTTTTTAAAAAAGCTTTAGGATGTACCTAAATAATATTTTTAAATCTTGCCACATTTGTAGAATATAAATAGTATCTTAGCTTTCTAAAAATGTATTCTCAAAACAGAAAAGCAGTATTATTTTAATGCTCCTAAAATTGAGGGAATAAACTTTTATTCATTTATTCATATGAAAAATTATCTGAATACAATTGTAATTCAGAGCAAGTGAAAATATGTTTCAATTCACATTTTACTTGTTGACGTTTGTATATTGTAACATATACAGTTCTAAAATTATTTGATGTATTTTGTTTCTTCTTTCACAATACAACAGAAAAGCTTTCTGCGTTGTGGGTCATAAAAAAAATTTCATTCCTAAGCTTTCTAAAGAATTCTGTTCAGTCAAGTGATTTTTTTATATGTATGAAAACCTTTTTCTATATTTTCTGCTAATCAATGATCATCATTGTAAATGACGGACAACAGAATTTGTCTGAAGAGCTGGAAAATTTTTAGAATACATTTGCAGGGCTGATTTAAAAATCACATCTTATAATATATATTACAACATATTGTCTAGGCCTTCCTAGAAGAAATTATTGATACAACTGAGTAAGCCAGCACTGGCCTTGATGGAATAGCGTTGGCACAAAAGAAATAATGCAGTAATACACTCCCAGCAACTGACAGCTAATAGAGAACAACATAATGGATATTACTCAGGATGTAATACCCTTATTCTCATATACCACTCATTTCACATCAGGATGCAGACACACTCAGAAGAGAATTTGTGGGAGGAGAGGGGGAAAATGAGGCCTAGGATTTGTTAGCAAACAGCTAAATCCGATTCACCAGCCAAACCTACCAGGCTGATGTGAAAGGCACAGATCCAGTGCTACTGAGTGTAAATATTAAGAAACTCCTTCCAAGCTAACCCAGTTTCTAAATTACAGATCTGTGTTTGAGTTTTGTTCCTCCCCTGTAGCTCTTTCCTAATCTTGAGCAGCAAATTCCAATACTGACAAAACTATGAGGGCTATAACCCTAGAGACAAATATGAATTGGCTGAAGCAACTGCTATTCACTCCTGAGAAATTTGGCTCCATCTGGATAATTTAGCAAAAGAACTTTTTGTTGTTGTTGTTTGTTTGTTTTTCAGTCACATGTATTATACTATTACTGCTCCAATGCCTAAGCTTCACCATACTGTAACTTCACAGGAGTAAGACAGCCTTTATCGAACTTACAGCTGGGAACTAGGCATGTGCATTTGGCCAAAAAATGCAAGTGAAAGAACAGGAGAGCAAGATGTGGTGATGGCATGATGATGTTTCTTGGTCTTTATAAGCGCCTGTGTTTTGCCTAGTGCTTTACACTGTCACGTCTGTTCTCCAAATGATTCAGATTTCTATATCAGTAACACCATAATCCTAGTTTAAAATTCCTATCCCCTTCACCCATTTATCGCCCTTTCACAGAAACAATTTCCTTCTCTGTGTATATGTGTATGAGATGTCTCTATCCATACACACCTTCCAAGGTCTCAACCTATTTGCATCACAGAGCAGAGGCCAGCATCTCTGCAGGCAGTCATTTAGACCACTGTGGAGTAAACACTAAACATTACTATTGGTGTCAGGTAGTACATTATGCTCACTCTGCACTCATGAAAAAGGCCACATAAGATGCAAAGCAAAGGACAATCAGCCCTCAGGCTTTTGAGCAAAGTGCATACCTCCCAATCCTGCCATTGATTTGTCAGGAGATGTATACTCAAGTAGATGGTTCACAGATGGTTCAGAAGAGGATTCTTTAGGAAGAGTGTGGTCAGATTGACCTCACTTTCACTGAGCTGACTGCCCGGTGAAGAAAGTTAAGCTGAATATCAAAATCATCAGCAAAAAATCTCCTCTTTGATTGTTACAGTTTAAGAGGAGCCATTCAAGCTCAATTTATTCTCTACACAGGAACTTCATTGATTATCTCAGACATTCATGCAGGAAGGAAGATGAGATAAGAAGAATTTTTTTTTTCTAAGTGATTGCAAGATGGAAAAAACTACTTTGTGAGTGTAATATATACCATAAAGTTTCCTTTGTGTAATCTGCTACCAAAAGTAAAAAGAGTTTACCATTTCTGAACAAAATAACCATTAGAGATGGTCTGATGATTACTGAGGGCAGAGATATGAATACTTGGATCTGGATGTATATTCAGATATATGATTAATATAAAAAAAGTTTTCTTGGGAGAAATATTATCAAGGTTATCCTATTGTCTTGTACTCTTGTACTTCCAGACACTAGCATCAGGAAGAGAGACTGATGACTATTTTTTTTTCCAAGGGATATGCTGGTTTGATCTCCTTCTATTGACCATAATGGGGATTTCCAGTGACTTTGAGAGGAAACCAATCCTGCTGAAGACTACTGTCACAAATAGAGATGGGATTTCAATCATGTTCTACCAAAGTCAAATGGATGCCCCTCTAGTTAAACCTTGTGGGAGGGAATTCCCTACCTCCCAGACTGCAAAACCTAACGTGAGGCACACAGATGTACTGCGTCTGCATACTTCACTCGGGTGATAATTTATTGCTTATTGACAGTCTACCTTCATTCCAGAATGGCCAAAGAGGGGAAAGAGCTTGGAAAGCAGTAGGTGTTTTATCTGAAGTTTGATGGTTGTAATATAAACTGGATGGATTAAATATCAGCATATTCGGGGAGGGTTTAAACTCTCAAGTCAGCTGCTCAAATGCAGTTGTCCCCTTCATGGAAAACATCACACTTCCTAAGGTAACCAAAGTGTGCACTTTCACATGAAGCCAGTTCTTGTGCATCGACTGATGTACACGTTTAATGTTTATAGACCTCTTGGGTCTATTTACAAAATACCAAAAACCTTAAAAGGGAGCCTCCCATGCTTTTGTG